AGAAAAAGCTTAAAAATAGCTGTTTGGCTGGTTTGTGTCCCATAATTTGACACAGTTCTTGTATGCATCATACAAACTAAGGGGATCTCAGAACTGTGTCATAATGCTGTATCAAAAAACTGCATAAAATGGTTTTAAAATACTGATTTAACCAGATAACACAGATAAATATTTAGAAAATTGGGCAGACTAGATGGGCCAAATGGTTCTTATCTGCCGTCACATTCTATGTTTCTATGTTTCTATATATATATACATTGGCCAAATACATATTGAAAATAATTATACAGAGACTATTGTAGTATGGTCTAACATAAGCAGTGTATAAGTCTCTGGCTACAGGTCTCTGGCCATGAATCAAAATTTAAATTTTATTCAGAAAAATGGGCGAGGAGCCGACATAAATAGTACCACGGGTAATACTTATATTATTTTATATATTTATATAGCCCATGCTATGCTGACTGCCAGGTTCAAAGGACAGTTTGTAACAATAATTAACAGGCTGCTAATAAAAAGCACTCTAAATTGCAGGATGACAAAGTCTATATTTAATATTATTTTTCACACCTCATACATAATTGTTACATATAGGTATATTAAAAAATAAAACTTGGGAAGTGAAAGTTCACTCAGTTTCAGCTTTCTAGAATAGTGACACAACAATACAAAATAATAATGTAAGATATGTTAAGATATCATGCTACTTACTAAAAGAACAAACTTGAGTTGCTTATCAGCGCGACTTTGGTCCAAGGTCACGAATATAAGACTGATTAAAAAATAGTCCCATAAAGAAAAATATCCAGAACTTGTTGCAGGCATCTCTCTGACAGTGTGCATTCATAAACAAGAAAAACAAGTAGAGTTACAATTTGTCCAGGCAAGATAGAGCTCATTTAAATGGGTTAGGGTGGAGTCAAAATAGTGTTTTAACCTAGTAACAAATGTAATCTTATGAAATACTGCAAAGGAGAAAAGGCTATTTATACACTGATTAGCAACAATATTAAAACCATTAACGTGTTAATTGAATAACATTGATTATGTTGCTACAATGGCACCTGTCAGAGGGTGGGCTATATTAGGTCAGTCAGTTCTTGAATTTCATGTGTTGGAAGCAGGAAAAATGGGCAAGTGAAAAGATTTGAGGGACTAGGTCCAAATAGAGATGGCAAGAAAACTGGGTCAGAGTATCTCCAAAATGTCAGTTCCTGGTATGCAGTGGTTAGCATCTACCAAAAGTGGTGCAAGGAAGGACAATCGGTGAACCAGCATCAGAGTCATGGGCGCCCAAAGGCTCATTGATGCACATGGGGGGAGAAGGATAGCCTGTTTTGTCTGATCACACAGAATAGATACTGTGACTCACATTGCTGAAAACCTTAATGCTGGCAATAATAGAAAGATGTCAGAACACAGTGCATTACAGTTTATGGGGCTGTGTAGCCACAGACCAGTCAGAGTGCCCATGATGACCCATGTCTACTGTCTAAGTGCCTTCAATGGGGATGTGTGCCTCAGAACTGGACCGTGGATCAATGTGAGTAGGTTGCCTGGTCTCATCAATCACATTTTGTATTAGATGAGGTGGATGACTGCGTGACTATGCGTCATTTACCTGGGGAGGAGATGGCAGCTAAATGCACTATGGGAAAAAGGCAGGCCTGCAGAGGCAGTGGTATGCTCTAGGCAATGTTCTGCTTGGAAACATTGGGTCCTGGCATTCATGTGGATGTTACTTTGACATGTACCACCTACACTGCAAAGTCCTGCAAGTTGTAAGGTGAGACCTCTGTGGATCAGATTTGTTCTTTTGGTACATCCCACATATGCACAATCCAATCCGATTTAGGTCTGGGAATTTAGAGGCCAAGGCAACACCTTAAACTCTTCGCATTGTTCCTCAAAACATTCTTTAAAAAATCGTTTTCATTTTAGCAGGGTGCATTATGCTGCTGAAAGAGGCCACTGCCATCAGGGAGCACCATTGCCATGAAGCGATGTACATAGTCTGCAACAATATCTAGGTAGCCAGTGTCAAAGTAACACCCACATGAATTCCAGGTGCCACAGTTTCCCAGCAGAACACTGCCCAGAGCAGCACTGCTGGCCTCCCTTCTTCCCATGGTACATTTTCCTACAAATATGAGCATTTTAGAGCAGTAAAACATATGACAATGATATTAATCGGTGAAATGTACAAAACAACTATGAATACTAACTTTGGCTAGGGTTGGTGACTAAGTAGCTACTAAAACAGACTGGGCGTACCCTATTTTGAATACCCTGGTTTGTCTACTTTTGCAAATGGTATGCAATGATGCAGGCCATTTTCATTCCTGGACTGCCAAAGGGTCTCAAAGGCAACATAGACCCAGTAAAAAACTGAAATGGGCAAACACTTTATTTGACCCATTAATTTTTAAAAACACCATGAAACCTGTACATGAGGCATCATTATAGCCGTGCAACATCACAGCATAAAAATGTGTGTTTTAGTGCAATAAAAGCTAACAGAATTATGAAATTCACAGTTAAAATGCCATGCAGAAAGTTTTCGATTTCTCACACTTTTTAGATTCTATTCATATTAAGTTGTGTTCCATATATAAATATTTGATGTGAAATGAAAGCCCTGCTTCTCCTGAACAAGATGATATATAATAAGTGTGGGTGCACTTAAATGAAAAAGGTAAACTATGGCTGAACAAACATATAGCTCAAATTCTAGGTTTTGTTTTGGTTCAGATTTAGTAACGAAAATGTATGCAATGTGATGCTTACAGGCCTTTTGTATGTATCCTGCGCTCTTAATAAAAGAAAAAAAGAAAAAAAGAAAAGAAAGCCAAGCTTTATTTCAATAGTTAGAGCAGTGATGGCGAACCTTTTTGAGCCCGAATGCCCAAACCGCAATACATGCAACTTTTTTTTCTTTAAAGTGCCAACACGGCAATTAAACCTCAATACTGAGGTTTAAGTTTAGAAAAAACAACTCGTACTGTTGTCCGAACTAATTAACAACTTTTGTTTTAAAAAAACACAACAACAGAGAGTTCAATGATACAAATTTTAAATAATGATATAAATAGATAAAATTAAGCTTATATTTATTAGTATCTTCAACAAATGCAATACATACACACACAGACTGCTGAATACATATACACAGTCTGCTGAATACACACACACAAGACTACTGAATACAGAGACTGATGAATACACACACACACAGTCTGCTGAATACACATACAGACAGACTGCTGAGTACACATACAGACTGCTGAATACACAAACACAGACTGCTGAATACATACACACAGTCCGCTGAATACATACACACACAGTCCGCTGAATACACACACACACCGTCTTCTGAATACACACACTGCTGAGTACACACACACACAGACTGCTGAATACACATACACACACACTGCTGAATACACGCACATACACAGGCTGCTGAATACACACACATACTGCATTGAGGGGTGTAGTGTATGTGTTTGTGTGTGGGGTGCTGTGTGTGTGTGGGGTGCTGTGTGTCTGAGGGGTGCTGTGTGTGTCTGAGGGGTTCTGTGTGTGTGTGTGTGATGGTTGCTGTGTGTGTGTGTGTGATTTCTCTGTGTGTGTGTATGAGGGGTGCTGTGTGTGTGTGTGGGGTGCTGTGTGTGTGTGGGGTGCTGTGTGTGTGTGAGGGGTGTTGTGTGTATGAGGGGTGCTGTGTGTGTGTGTGTATGAGGGGTGTTGTGTGTGTATGGGGGGTGCTGTGTGTGTGTGTGTATATGAGGGGTGCTGTGTGTGTATGTGTGTGGGTGTGAGGGGTGCTGTGTGTGTGTGTGTGTGTGTGTGTGAGGGGTGCTGTGTGTGTGTGTATGAGGGGTGCTGTGTGTGTGTGCGGGGTGCTGTGCTTCACAGATCCCTCCCCCTGCCTCCCGACACAGAAGCAGAGTAGGCGCCTGTTGTTTTGGGCAGGCAGGTGCCTACTCTGCATTGATGGCGAACCTATGGCCGCGTGCCTACAGAAAGGGCCCGGCGTGCCACCTGTGGCACGTGTGCCATAGGTTCGCCATCACTGAGTTAGAGTATTTTTTTCATGTAGAGGGGTGATAGATGTTTACATTACATGTTTTTCTTGTTTCTTTTGTTAGTGCAAAGTTACTGTAAATTTTCTCACTTACTAAAGCAATGGGCGTGTTGCTGCTGGCTGAAGTCCAACAGGTAAGGCTGGAAGATTATAGCATAGAGTCAGGGCCGGCGCTTCCTATAAGGCGAACTAGGCAGCCGCCTAGGGCGCCATATAGGAGTGGGCGCTCTGCGCCCCCATCGCCGGCCCTTTAAAAGCCACAGCCGCCTGAGCGCTCTATAGAGAGCACTCAGACGGCTGCCGCACTGCCTCACCTCCCCTTCCCTGTAGCGTGGCCGAGCTCCTTTCCGGTCCGCGACCCAGCCGGACTGACAGGAAGTGCACACTGAGTGTGCACTTCCTGTCAGTCCCGCCGGGTCGCGGACCGTATAGGAGCTCGGCCACGCTACAGGAGAGGTGAGGAGATGATTATAGGGGAGGGGGGAGAAGATTATGG